CGTATCGGTCGCCCGCCGGCTCGGGGGGAGGTGGGACGGCTTGGTCCAGGAGGGCACTGCCCTCGGCCCCCTCCACGACCACATAGGTGGCCCCCAGCGCCTGCCGCAGCCGCCGGGCACGTGCCAGGAACCAGCTGAGGGCCACCTCGCTGGTGACGTTCAGGCGGGCGCAAAGACGTCCCTTCCACATGGTCAGCAGCGGGACCTGCGGCACAGGAGAGGGGGAAAATGGCTGTTTGACCTGTAAAGTGATATAATGGGGGGAAAAAAATGGCTGTTTGACCCATAAAACATCCCCCCAGCCCCAGGGTGTGAGGATGGAGGGTGCCTGCGCTGCACTCATCCTCCCTGCTGTAATTTTCACCATCGTGGTGTAGCACATAAAGGTGTAAAACAAACCTCCCCCCCAAAATTAAAGTAAAGTGATACAATGGGGGAAAAAAATGGCTGTTTAACCCATAAAACATCCCCCCAGCCCCAGGGTGTGAGGATGGAGGGTGCCTGCGCTGCACTCATCCTCCCTGCTGTAATTTTCACCATCGTGGTGTAGCACATAAAGGTGTAAAACAAACCTCCCCCCCAAAATTAAAAAATTCCCTGAGTTGATGACAAATTGGCATGTCATTGAAATGACTGAAAACATTGGAAACTTTAAAAAATAACTTTTGGAAGCAGAAGTGTGCAAGCTGCTTCCCTACGGAGCAGGGGAATTGCTGCTCCCCCAGGCATCGCTTTGCCCCCAGCACAGGAGCAGCAGGTTGTTCCCCCCCCCCCAGGAATTTATTCAGCTTTAGCTTTGGTTTTAGGCGCAGCAGCAGGCTGGGGGGGCAGGGGAGGGTGCCGTACCGGGGGCTGCAGGCTCAGCCAGTGTCCGTCCATCTGTCCGTCCCGCAGGGAGCGCAGGAAGAGCGGGGAGGCGATGCTGGTGTAGGGGGACAGCGTGATGGAGAGCTGCAAAGGGGCCACCGCCGAGGGGTCCCAGGTGCCGGCCGGGTCCTGCCGCTTCCTCCGCTCCCCAGGGACGTGGTCCTGTTGGGGGGGAGGGGAGGAGAAGGGATTTGGTACAAAGAGCAAAGCCCCCCCGCACTGGCGGCTTGGTGTCACCGCCTGCATGGGGTGACACATCCCAACCCACACCCCTTCTGAGGGAGGGGATCACAAAAGGGGTGTGTTTGTGTCACACGTAGGGATGGAGGGGGGCTGAGGGCAGCCCCCCATCCACCCCCCGAGCCCCGGGACGTACCGCAGCAGCCAGGACGGTGGTGCCGTGCTCCCCCAGGGCCAGCACCCCCTCCTGAAGGCGATGCCGCTTCAGCCTCTTGGCCAGGGACCTCAAACCTCGCTTTATTTTGGCAGCTGAACCCTCCGGGCCGTGGTACCGCCAGATGGGAGACCTGTGGGGAGGGAGGAGCCATGGGGGGGTCATACCTTGTGCGGCACGAGATGCTCGGGGCAGTGATGGGGACAAGGACCGGAGGGAAGGAGCATCTCACCCCAGGAGGGCCGTGTCGGGCATGGCTCGCACCGGCCCGGCCAGCTGGGTGCCCACGTGCCGGTGGGCGACGGCCACGTTGGGGCTGAGGCAGAGCTGGTAGCCCAGTGGCACAGCCGCGCTGCCCGCCGGCGACTCCAGGCAGAAGTGCCTGTTGCTCTCCAGCGAGAGGAAGAGGGGCACGTCGGGCTCCACCGTCACCGTCACCCCTTTGGGGAGAGAAGAGGGGAAAAAAGAGCCTCAGCAAAGTGCCTGGCTCCTCTCGGTCCTCGTGTCGGTAGCCACGGGACAGGGATGTGTGGGGCAGAGCCTGACCAGGACCTCCTGCATCGATCCTGGCCACCGAGCAAATCTCTGCTCTCCACTTCCACTGTTCCCCATTTTGGCCTCCAAAACGCCTTTCAGAGGCTGGGTTTGCTCCATTTCATGCCTTTTTGTGTTCAGCTCAGGCAGCGGCTTCAGGCTGATGGAGGCAGGGCAGCTGCAGGTCAACTCAGCCCTTTGGGGGAGTATCTGCAGTTTGGCCTTCTGCAGGATGGTCCCAGCACCCACCCCAGAAGGGCAACAGCAGCTCAACTCCTGCCCACATCCAGCACCCCCCCGGGAGTGTGGGGTGAAGGGACACAGACCGGGATAAAGCGGAGCCAGACGCAGCAGGAGCTCGGGATTCCCCTGGGGCGACCGGGGCCACCCCCATCCACTCTGGGACTGATGGGTCAGTGCAGCTGAGGTTTGATGTCACAGCCCTTCCCACCGGGATGGGGGGGCGTGGGACCCTCCCTCATCCCCCGCTGCCAGCAGTCACTGCATCCGTGGCGTATTTCTATCTCGGGGACATCTCCCCTGCCCTGCAACTGGTTGTTTTATAGAATCATAGAATGGTCTAGGTTGGAAGAGACCCTTGGGATCATCGAGTCCAACCATCTCCCCTACTCTACAAAGTCCTCCCCTACACCATGTCCCTCAGCACTGCATCTAAACGGCCCTTAAACACAGCCGGGGATGGGGACTCCCCCCCCTCCCTGGGCAGCCTGTTCCAATGCCCGACCACTCTCTCTGTGAAAAATTCCTTCCTAATGTTCAGTCTAACCCTCCCCTGTTGGAGCTTGAAGCCGTTCCCTCTCGTTCTGTCACTAATTACCTGTGAGAAGAGACCAGCCCCAACCTCTCTACAGTGTCCTTTCACGTAGTTGTAGAGAGTGATGAGGTCTCCCCTCATATATCATATGCGCCAGGAGAGGGCTGGAGGGAGCCGGGGAGTAAAGCAGCAGGGGTGGGATGGAGAAGGACGTAGTTACCTGTGGAGCCCAAGAAGTACCTCTCCAGGACAGGCCCGTAGCCCCCGGGGCTCTGGCTGAGGTCGCCGCTGATGAAGGGCTGGGGGGGGCTGTCGGCGCCGTTGAGCGGCCAGCGCTGGGCACGGACACTCACCCCCCCGTACCAGGAGACGTTGGCCATGGAGAAGCAGTCCTGCAGCCAAGAGAGCATCGTCAGGTGGTGAGAAACGCCCCGGGGGAGGATGAACAAACAAATAACTGCTTTTGGAGAGGGAGAACCCCGGCGTGTTGTTCCCGTGTCGTCAGAGCAGTCGTGGGGCAGGTCTTCTCCCAGGGAGAAAAATCCCAACCCCATGAGATTCTGCGGGAAGTGGGTGCTCACTCCTTGCTTTCTGCATCTAACCTGGTAGAAGATGGTTAGGTTTAAAGTTTCTCCTCCACAAGAACAAGAGCTGGGCTTCCAGGTACCACAAAGTGCTGAAATTCCACCTGAAGGCTTGATTTCTCAGCCTGCACTTTAATAAAGTTGCCAAATGGTGTGAGACCAGGAAAAGGGAAGAAAAAAGAATTGTAGCAAGAGTCAGTAGCGCAAGTTATGCACCTTGTTTATCTTAAAGAACAAAAAAAAGTCTAAACTTGCCAATTAAAGCCAAAGCCAATGATTTTCCTTCCTTTTTGCTTTACACACCTGCATTCAACATGCAGGTGGGGGAACAGAAAAATCCCACTGCAGGAAATAAAATTCTATGGCATAAAAATTATGGTTTCCTTTATAATAAGACCCCACAAGACATCTTCCCCAAAGCCTGCCGGTTCTAGATAAACAAACTTAAATAAAATCAAATTGCTCTGAAGCAGCCTGGTGACCCCAGGTAATGCCCACCCAGGACACCCCGCAGAGCCCCCTGCACACACTTCTGCACCCAACCACAATTAGCAAGAATTAACGGGGTTTTGAGTTGCCAGTGAGAAGATGCTGGAGCCCACTGAGGGGAAGGGGTTCAAGGGGTGCGTGTCGCTGAGGGACCACAGCCACAGCGGAAAACTCGAGGCCGTGGCTTTAAAATGCAGTGATGGCGCTTCCAAAACCCGGCTTGGAAAAAATCTGCTTGTTTAGAAGAGGAGGAGAAGAAAAAAAAAAAGGG